TGTGTTATATAATTTGTTGTGTTTTACTAATAAAAATTGTTTTTTAAAAAAAACCCAGTTATTGAATAAAAATTGTTGTTATTTTATAAAAAGTGTATTTTTTTATAAAACATATAGTTTTTTTGTTAAATTGTGCAGTCTTTTTTAATCAAAAGTGCAGTTTTTTATAAGAACATGTTTTTTTTTTTTTGCTTGTTTTTTTTTTTTTTTTTTTTTTTTATGAAAATGCAATTTTTTGTTAAGTGCACTTTTTTTTTCATAAAACATGTTGTTTAGCTCAATAAATGTTATAATTCAGTCCAAAAACCGAAATCCGGTTGGGAACTCGGATCAGGAAACGAAGCGGCATAACCTAAACTGGTCCAATTTCCCGTTAAGGTAATTCAAAGATTTCAGGTTTTCGGTATTCAAGCCGGTTTGATCTAGGTTTGGCCCGTTGCTTAATATTGGAATGAGAGCGTCTTTAATTCTTAATTTTGTTCATTGCTGAAGTATAGTATTTTTGATAGCATTATTTTATGTTCTTTTTTTTGGTTCAAGTTTAGAAAAGTTTACATATATTCTTTGGAATTATCGGTTAACATACTCACGTTAATTTTCTAGGTTTTAGCTACCTTTGTGCATATATAGATCTTTCTTTAAAAAATAAGCAATAATTTTATTAGAATATTTAATGAAGAGGATGGGTCTATTTTAAATTAAATTTTATGTTAATAATAATATAAATGGTTTATGTCATTTTTGATCACTTAACTTTTGGTTATGTGCTCATTTGACTTTTGACTTTATGCTCATTTATTTACTTAATTTTGTTTTGGTCATTTAACTTTTAGATTTGTGCTCATTTAGTCACCTAACTTTTAGAATTGTGCAACTTTAGTCACTAAACTTTTGAAAAAAATTAAAAGTTTAGTGACGAAATGAGCACAATTTTAAAAGTTAGGTGATTAAATGTGACCAAGCCAAAAGTTTAGTGATTAAATGAGCACAAAACCAAAAGTTTGATGACTTTTTAAAACTTAAAAAGAATTAAATAACCAAATGAACACAAAACCAAAAATTAAGTGACCAAAAATAACCTAAACCCTAATATAAATATTGTTGTGTAACATTTTGCGCACAAAATATGTGGCTGAAATGATCCCCTTTATCACTAAAAAACAAGTTTCTCACAAAAAATTCTTTCCTATATATTTTAAAATCATAAACACAAATACTTAGATTTAATGCTTTACAGATTAGGCGCCAGTGATATCGATAGAAATAAAACAAACAGACTCGATCAGAGCATGGCGACTGCAGCACCTTTCTCTGGTCCAATCGGAAATTCCAGATGGTCACTAGCCGGAATGACTGCTGTCGTCACCGGTGGTACACTTGGGATCGGCTATGCTGTGGTGGAGGAACTGGCGGAGTTAGGACCAGAAGTGCACACCTGCTCACGTACTGAGTCTGTACTTAACCAACGCTTACAAGAATGGTCCGACAAGGGCTTTAAGGCCACCTGATCCGTCGTCTGCGACTTATCTTCTCGTCCCCAACGGGAACAGTTTGCGGAAAACGTTACATCACTTTTCGATGGCAAGCTCAACATCCTAGTAAGTTCTTCCATGTCTTACCCGAAGCTCTAGTTCTTTTTTCTTTCAGACGATTAATCATGCACAAGACTTATTTCCTCAGACTTGTCTCCTGTAGATCAACAATGTTGGGACAAATATATTTAAAACTACGTTAGAGTTTACCCCAGAAGAGTATTCCATGATCATGGCTACCAATTTGGAGTCATGTTACCATATGTGTCAACTTACACATCCTCTTTTAAAAGCTTATGGAGCTGGAAACATTGTGTTCATTTCATCTGTTATGGGTCTGGTTCATACACCTTTTGGATCCATTTACAGTGCCACCAAAGGTATGGTTGTTTGGCGCTATATATAATGCAACATGTCTGATGAAAACGGGTGGGTTGTAATGTTAGTTTTGCGTCTACAGGTGCAATGAATCAGCTTGCAAAGAATTTAGCATGTGAATGGGCTAAAGATAATATTCGGTCTAATAGTGTAGCACCATGGGCCACTAAAACCCCACTCGCCCAACATGTAATATGCCTTCTTCATTTTGCCCTTTTATCTTTACTTAATATTGATAGTTAATGTCGTAATTCCCTTGATTTGTATATGCAGCTTGTTGAAAACGAGGAATTTTTGGAAGCTATGGCATCTAGAACTCCTCTGAAACGTGTTGCAGAACCAAATGAAGTTTCATCTCTGGTGGCGTTCCTTTGCCTACCTGCTGCTTCTTACATCACTGGCCAAACCATTGCTGTTGATGGTGGATTTACGGTCAATGGATTCCTGTAAGTCAGTGAGTGCAAACGTACGTATGTGCAGGATTCTGAAGTTGGGAATAAATTAATTATGTCGTATTGTTTCTTTTGATGTTCTAACTCTCTCTTTTCTTCTGTAATCTGTCAAGAGTTTTTTTGTTAAGTAATATGGTTAAAATAAGAGTAATCTTCATAAATTTTGTCCCTGTTCTCAAAATATTAAATTTAGTCTCTATTAGTTTTTAATATCTTCAAGGATGGTCCTATGGTTTAAATATTTTAATGGATCAGGAGTGTTTGGGATAACTTTTTCCGCTTTAAAGTCATTTTTATAAAAAGATTTATTTTCAAAAGGAGTCATTTTTATAAAAAGATTTATTTTCAAAAGGAGTGGTTTAAAAAGTGTTTTGAGGGACAAAAGATAAAAATTGTTTTTAAAAGACACAAAAAGTCATCAATTGTGACTTTTGAAATCAATCTTTTTTCTCTTATCCAAAAGTGGATTTAAAAACAACTTCTCAACTTGCAAAACATCTTTTGAATTTTTTTGACTTTGTGGAAAAGTAAAAAGTCAAAAGTCAATTTTAAAGCAATCCCAAACACCCTCTAACTCCTTTATTTTTCTCCTGTCAAGTCTAAATATGTGCAAAATATGTGAGAACAAAATCGTCTTTTACATACTACAATGACTATTTATGGAGTTTTAAATAAATAAACTCTATCCTAAACCCATCCACCCATAAAACCTTACATTTTTCTCTTCAGCTCTCTTATCTAAACAAATTCGCTCAATTAGAGCTACATGGGACAACAAAATCCGTTCGATTAGACCTACATGGGAATTAAAAGTTTAGAATAGCAAATCATTAAAAAGATACAATCGTTAAAACAAAGTTTATCACCCTAATATTTCATCTGGGGCTATAAAAAAAATCAAAGGTGTTGTTGGTAGATACTGCATTAGCAACAAGGGCAAGAATGTCTATTAAGGAATTTGAGCTGGGCATAACTGTATCGGGGAGAACATTTCTTGGTCGTGTGGCTCTTCGTGTTCCCGACCTTAATTCACCTCCTTCACCCCTAAACTGATTATATAAAATGGATTCATGTAAGCTAAAAGATATTTTAAAGTTGAGTAAATTATACGAATCATCCCTCATGCTGGTGCCAAAATACACGTTCAGTCTCTATTTTCAAAAATTAATCCTCATGCAGGTGTAAAATACACGTTCAGTCCCTATTTTCAAAAATTAACTCGTATAATCCCTCATTTGGTTAAAATTTGCACTTCGTTAGTTTAAATTTGTACACTTCATCTCTTGCGAAACATGAAATAACTGTAATGTCCTTTTTGATTTATTATTTATTTATTTTTTATATTTCTGACTAATTTTAATTATTAAAAAATCTAATTAAATTTATGGCTCCACCTAACCCTTTTAAATTAAAAACCCCAACAACCCCTCTTTCCCCTAATTTTTTTGACAGATATTAAACATCACGACTGTCAGACAGAAACAAAGTCATCGGAATTTGCTACAACTACCATTGGGAATTTGCTACAACCACCATTGGAAACAACGGAAATAATTCCGGTATTGATCCCTGAACAATACTACAATGAGTCTCCTGACCACAACCCTCGTCTATCTCTCTCTGTTAACTCCATTGTTTTAGATCGACGTCGTCTAGTGCCGCCGCCACCACAAGAACCATTGGAAAACGTCAGTATCTCAAACCTCTCGTGGAGCAATGTGACGCAAAAGACGATAACTGATACTTTAGGCTTGTACGTTAACAACGATGTTTGTACACCTTGAAAATTGAAGAATACATCCGGTGGTGGTGAGCTATGATGGTGATGGCGAGCTGTAGTGGAGATGGCGTTAACTGGTGGTGGTTCGATTGATGCTGGAGAAGAAGGGGTGAGAAAGAAGATCGATGACGAGTTGCGGTGACTATAGTACCCAAATTTTATTTTAAGAGGTCCGCCATTTTTGTTTCATGAGAGTTGGTGGGCCGAAAGTAATGTAGGGAGGTCAGGATCTGTGTAGAGCTCACTGGAAAGGAGGCTGGCGATCGGAAAAGAGAACAAGAGAAGGAGGAGGAACGTTGTGATGTAGGGTATTGGATCTAGTTGTGGGTCCTGATGGGGAGAAGACCGACAGTGGTGCTTGGTTTTCGTCGGAGTCATAGAGTCGTTGGGCGGCGTGATGGTTTTCGTTGGCGTTATGGAGATAGGTGGACAACATTAGGGTTGTGGGTTGCTGTCGGGAATAAAGAGAAAGACAAAGTAGAAGAAAATTGGGAAAGGGAAGGGGAAGGGATGGGGTATTTATCTATTTATAAATTTAAAATGACAAGCAAATAAAAGAAAAATAAAAAAGAAAATTTTAAGTGTAAAATAGTCATTTTATGGTCGTAGGGATGACCCGAGTGAAATAAAAAATTAAACATGAACGGTTCGAGCTAATTTTTTAAAAATATAAGCTGAACGTGTATTTTGGCTCTTACGCGATGGGCGATTCGTGTAATTTACTCTTTAAAGTTTCTCATTTAACATTTTTGTTCAATTTACATTATTCTTATTGGTTTCAATGGCTGAAGATATTAAAATATTCAAACAAAAAAAAAAAAAAAAAGTTGAAATTCTTTCAAGAGACCAATAGAATAATCCCCACGCTCTTGTATCCATACACAATACGCAATACCAATTAAACGAAAATTGTCAGAAAAGTCTAAAGATTTTCGAAAAATTTATTTTAATCCCTAATTTTTTTTGAACATAACAGTCTCGATTATTTCACTTTATACGATAATATGTCATTTCCTGTTAAAAGAAAAAAATGGATTTTTTTGTTAATTCGAACCAAAATGAAATAATATGGACTTTTATGTTCAAAATTTTCTTTAGACCAAAATGAAACTCTTCCACAAATATAGACATTTTTTTGATAATTTACCCCAATTAAATACATTTTTGCTTTCCAAATATTATAAAAACCTTTGTTAATTATCCAAATTTCAATGAAACAATCCACCAATAAGAGGTTTCGGTTTTCTAAATTGGAATCTTTTTTTTCACGGTGTCTCCCCAGATTTGCACTTTTATACTTTTATATTTCTTTTTTAAACCTCTAAATTTCTTATTAGGATGATATTCAACTAGTTTTTTTTTTCTTTTTGTTTTTGCTTTTCAATAAAAATAAAATAGAAAAATAGCATAAACAGTTTTTCATCTCAAACTCTATTACATTTTTAACCCCATTTTTTATCTCAAAAAAAAATATATTTTTAGTATATTTTTTATAACTTATATATATTGTCAAACACACCAATTAATTACATTTTACCAAATATATATCTTATCTTTATATTTTTTCGTTACAAATTATGTTATCATAAAATTATAACAAAATAAAATGTTCATATATAATGAATTTGAATTAATTATTATTTCGTTAACAACAATTATTAAATAAATAACATATTATTTATAAAACACTTATAAATATAATCAATCTCGATTGCTCAAGTCATGACCGTTTATATAGAAGAAGAAGACGCAATGGTTCATATGAGCTCCTTGAATCAATAGAAGAACAATCTAATCAGTCACTCAAAGGAAAAACAAATGAAGACGAAGAGTATCATGAAGTTGCCCAGTCGCTAGGACGTGGAGGAAATATTGCCATGTCGTGAGCAATAAAAGAAAATTATGATTTTTCATTCGTCGAGCCGTATCAACCACCTCTACCTTACCCATCTTGTGCCAATGAAAATCTGGTGAAGCAAGAAAATGAAAAGTTCATGGAGCATAAAGAACTTGAAGAGCAATTGGAAAAAAGAAATGAATCATTCGAAACCTCCAATGTCAACACCAATGATATTTGAGGTGTTTTCTTTTATATGACCACCAGATAAAGCCACAAGGATAGTTGTAGAAAAAGAAGAAATGAGTGATGAGTCTCATTTTGATAAGAAATGTAACACCCCGGCTTTCAGGTATTTTCAAATTCATCCCTTGGTTTTAATTATGTCATTTTTGGTCCTTGGAATTGGAAAGAAGTGGCCATGGGAAGCCTTAGTGGCAAATTTGTAATTTGGATGTAGGAGGAGTACGCTAAGCATACTAGGGCGTACCCTAGTATGCTAGGCGTACACATATGTACGCTGGCCGTACTCATGTCCAAGTGAAACCCTAATTTTTAGGGTTTGTAGGGTATTTAAGCACCTTTATAGCTCACTTACCCCCACCTTTCCAACCTCCAAGCCCTTGAGTCTTTTTTGGAAAACCCTAACCCCATAAGAGTGTATTTTGAGCTAAAAGTGTGTCATTTGTGTGCTTAAGGAAGAAGGAGTTGCATCAAGGAGTTTAGAAGTTGAAGTAAGCTTGTGGATCTGGGATCATCACCTTCTTGGGAAGCTCTAGAAGGTAAAAAGTCTTCACCTTGATGCTTTGTTTGCTTGGATCTCATTTTTGATAGCTTTATGTGTTCTTCTTGTCCCAAAAGTCGCATTTCTATGCATGTTTTCTGTTGGACGTTTGGAGCTGTCCTTCTATACCCTAGGAAGGGTTCTAAGCCATAAAAATGAGGTCCCTTTAGCTAGTTTGGCTCCATGCTTCTTGTAGAAGTTCTTAATGGATTAAGACCTTGCATTAAGGACTTTTTGGACATAGAAAGTCATAAAGTTGGGAACTTTATGACCCTAGTATGCCTTTGGACCTTAGATCTGAAGTATGAGCTCAAGTGTTGAAGCCATCAAGCACTTAATAAAGAAAATGGAGTTTAGATGTTATACCCCGCGTAGAAGGTAGTACACCCCACGTACTCAGTCAACTCCCCCGTAATCAGTCAATGTGAGGCTTGCGTACACTGAGCGCACCTCCAGAGTACGTCTCGTGTATTTGCATGGAACAACCAATTTTAAGTTAACTCGGTCGAGTTGACTCGGTTTGGTTGACTCGGCTGGGTTGACTTAGTGGATTTATGGAGGTTGACCATGTTTGACTTTTGAGGGCGTTTTGGGTATTGTTGGGATTTTGATAGAATTGGTCACTTGGTGGTTGTAGGCATTTGAATTGTGAGCTGAGATTTGGAGTCGGGCCTTATCAGTTCTGTGCAGCGTGTGAGGTGAGTTTTCCTCACTATACTTTCGGTTCGAAGGCACCAAGGCTGACATTTTGGTTTGATAACCTGATATTGTTGATATGACGAGTATGGAATAGATGTGCATGTTAGTCTTGATATGCTAGTCTGGTAGATCTGTAGGACTACCTGTGATACTATCTGTTTATATATATATATATATATATATATAT